TGACGTTTCTGCTCTGGGCCCTCAGCGTCCAGTACCTCGAGGTCCACGGCACGGCGGGGTTCTTGATTCCCATGATGCGTGCGATGCTTCTGGACGTGTCTCGCTTTCTCGCGTTTTACCTTCCGTTCCAGCTCGCCTTTGGCTTTGCCTACTACCTCCTCTTCCAGAGCCTTCCCGAGACGTCGCCGTACGACTCGCTGCCCAAGAGCTTTCTACAGACGTTCCTCGTGCTACTGCAGCAGTTTGATGCGTCAGATTTCGCCACTCTGCCAACGACGAGCGCAGTTCTCCTGGGCTACACACTCCTGCTCACCCACACGACGCTGGTGATGGTCATGCTCCTCAACGTTCTCATCGCCATGATGACGAAGGGCGTTGAGGCTCGCATGGAGAAGGCCAAGCGGGAGGCCCTCGTGAGCTTCGCAGAGTGCATCTTGCGCAGTGAGAAGACGCAAGGCCTCGTACCACTGCCTGTGCGCACTGAAATCAAGTCGATGGAGGTCGCACCGCTCATCGAGTCGAGCCGCGGACTCTACACGGGCGACGACGACGATGACGACGACGTTGCAATGGACCACGGTCGCAGCCTCGTCTTTGGCGCCGATGAAGAGAGTCGCCTCGGGTTTCGGCCGGACGAGCTCTCGTCCGACGAGCGGCTCGCGATGCTTTCAGACCAAGTCGCGCGCCTCGAAGCCACGGTCGCATCGCTCGTCCAGCTGCTCACCGCCAAGCGCGCCACGTAGTCGCTGAAACTAATCCTCAAATCTATACGCGTGGCTGCTTTTTCCCTGACCGGTCGCTTTCTCGGTGCTCGTTGAAAACAAACACTATATAATCCAGATACTGGAAGCTCCCCAGCTACATGTCTTACACGTCTTGGTGGTCTCTGGATCTCTAGCGGGGTGAATACCGCACGGCTAACCAATAGGAACAACTAGGGCACTCTGGACCCTAGCCCCTGTAAACCTAGCACATATTGCACGACGCAGTAGGTAAGACGACAAAAGCAACGTATGCAGCCACCACAATAATGGTAGTGCGCAAAAACAGAGGGCAACAGCCAGTGCTTTGCTACGCAAAGGCTATCACGGAAAAGGCTCAGCGCCGCTTTTCCCTTGGCAGTCGACACAATTTTTCCATGTACGAAAATGACCTGCCCCACCACGATGACAACCTCGACGCTTGGCTTCCACGCGCTCTACATTCCGCGCTCGAGTGCCAAAACCCAGCGCTACCTCGGCGCGGGCCTCCTCCTGACCCTGCTCGGCCGCACCTTTGGCATGCGCCGCGTGCTTCTCGTCCTCTGTCGCTCTGCCTACAAGCTCTTGTCGGCCACCAATCACATGTACGACACCAAGCTCTGTCCGCTGCTCGACAGTGTTCAGACCATCCAGACGCTGCAGACTGCAGTCGCCGCCAAAGACACGAGCATTACCGACCTCACCATGAAGGTTGCAGCGCTCCACGAAGCCGCGCGGGTCCAGCGCGTGACGGCGACCGAGATCAGCGCCGACCTCAAGGTCGAGCTGCATCAGACCAAAATCCTACTGCACCGCACGAGCAAGGTCGTCCAGCGCGACTTGAAAGCGATTCGCACCGCGCTCAGCAAGCCCCAGCAAGAACTCTAGGCGCTCGACCGAATGGAGACCTCGACCGCCGCGACGTTCAAGATTCGACTTGTCCACGCTGAGAACGAGACGGTGGCCGCCAAGAGTCTCGCTGCAGCGGCCCTTGCAACGCTGGTTGGCCGTCGACACGAGCATGAAATGGAGATGGCAGCGGCCGATTCGGCCGCCAATAACGTCCAGATTAGCTATTTCAGTCCAACCGAGTCCTTGCAGCGTGCGCCCAAGAGGCCACCACTGCCCAAAACGAGCTGCGTGACGTGATTGCCGAGCGTGACGTGATTGCCGAGCGTGACGTGATTGCCGAGCGTGACGCACTGGCCGCCTCCAACGAACAGCTCGCCCTCCAACTGCAAGCGGCGACGACGCGCGTGGCAGCACTTGACGCCGCGTCGACGGCCGCTTCCGAGCGTGAGTACGTGGACACTAGCCAGGCAATGAACGAGCAGCATAATGCCGATCAAAAACATCTACAAGCAGCACAGGAGCTACGTACTTTCACATGGCACGTGTAATGGCGGGAGAGCTGCTGGAGAGCTGTTCAAAAATCAAAATTCACAACGCGCGCATGATTGGCTGAAATCGGACCAATGGCATCGACGCTGCCACAATCGAGCAGCAAAGTGCAAATGGCGACCTCGGTGGCGTTGCCGGCCATCGGCACGGATCACGTCGACGACTTGGTGACCAACCTCTTGGACATGGTCGTGGTAAGCACCTTTGTTGCTTCAAGCCTGCGCACCGACCCCGTGCAGCGAATCCTGCTCTGCCTCTACGTTGTCTGCGTGGTCGTCGTCGGCATCCCGCTCGTGCTCCTCCCAGGTACAACTCGACGACTGTCGTGCGCTAGCTGCCACTTCTGTGCATAGTCCTCGTATGTCTCAAGGCCGACGGCGTCCTCACAGCATCTTGGACCGCAACGCTGACGCCGCTTTGGATCACGGACGTCGTGCTTCTCATTCTCGTGGATGTGATCACGGACCCTTCGCCGCCCGCGTCACCCACCACACCGCTGCACGCTACGACCAGCGACGACGCCACTGTCGCTCTTGACGCTACCACCGAGGTAAGTAGCAGCCGCGAAACCGATGAGGAGGCTGCTGCCCCGAGCAACGATGCTGTCAGTTCCAAAAACGCCACGGCGCCGGACGTGAGCACCGAGGTGGTCGCAAGCACGAGCGACGATGTTGCCGTCGACGCCAGCAACGACAACAGTGACACGACCGTCAAGCCTTTCCTGTCAAAGTACTCCAGTGCATCGTGTCTCGATCGTCTCCAACGATTGGTGCGTAGGGGCACGTTCTACAGTGCGATGGGCTTGGTGACCTTTCACATTCTCGTCGCCTTGCGCCTCGACGACGTCGTCGGATGGCCGTGGACGGTGCTCGTCGTGCCGCTTCTCGCCGCCGATATGTGCAGCGACTGGTTGGCCCTGAGCGTCGCGTGCACGATTCAGTATGCCCTCGTGCTCCTTCGACTGGATGGCTTCGTCGGCTTTGGCTGGGGCTTTGTCTTTATACCCACGTGGCTGCTACTAGGTCTTGTGCTCGCGGGTCTTGTACGTCATCGTTTAATCGATTTGCGTCAAAATGGACTTGTCTGTGTAGGGGCTTCTGATGTTTATCTTGCTGGATGAATTCGACACGTCGTCATCGCCCAACTGGCTGGCATGCGCCGGCTACGCCTTGCTGATTGTTTGCATCCTCGCACCCGCCGCGTCTTTGGCGCTGCTCACGTGGCAACTGGACGCTGACCTTGGGTACTCGGCACTTGGGATTGGCTTGCCCTACTTTGGCGCCATGGCGCTTCTGATCGCCGCTGTAGGACTGTTCGCATGCTGGGATGTATCTATCCTCATCGATCGAATCGTAGGGTGCGGCCATCGTCATCTTTTACGCCGAAGAAGACGTGGATGCAGGTGACGGCGCTGGCGGCGAAGTTGTATGACACCAGGTAGTTCCTTGTCCTCGAAAGATGTCGGAGCCGACATCGTCTTGCTCCAGGGTATGCCACCGAGCATCGAGCGAGAGCGACCAAACGGACCCAACCCCGAAGGTCAGGACGTCCGCCACCTCGTCGACTCTGATGACGTTGCGCACGCGTGGCTGTTGTCTCCTTCGTCCTCCTCACCTCTGTGCTGTCGCGTGTGTTCAAGCACGTACAACTAAGAGTTGAAGATGACTTTTCTACCTACCTTTCTGTGACGAGACGCCCATAGTTTCATCTTGTCTCTAAATGGCAATATCGCGCCAATCAACCTTTGAGGGCCTTTTAGTAGCCTGTTGGTTGTTAACAAACTAGCAGCTGGGCTAGTGGAGCACAAGACAGAGGAAAGAGGAAGAGGAAGAAAGATGGACCACTCAAAGGCGCACGTGGACGTGCGCAGTCGGCGGCGGAATCGAAGAT